TTTGGGTGGCATTATCACGACACAGGCATGCGTTAACGTTTTAAACACCAACCTTCCTGCTTCCCACTGTTGAAGAGCAATTCGGGGATGGCGATTGTTTCTTTGAACACGATCGAGCACCTGTTGATACTGCACGGCCTGTGGCGGAGTGGTTACTCGACAATAACATCCCTGCATTGGACTGGCCTGCACAGAGTCCTGACTTAAATCCTACGGAACATCTTTGGGATGTTTTGGAGCGCCGACTTGGTGCCAGGTCTCACCGACCAACATTGGTACCTCTCCTCAGTGCAGCAGTGTGGATTCGCATACAGAACGATAAATACAGCAATTGTAGAAGTAGAAACGAACACAAATTAGACTAAGTTTGTGTAGTTTTAATCTCTTAAAAAATTTGGGGACAAAAATATGTATTAAACAATTCCGGAGAAGAATCAAATGTAGTTGTATGAAGATTTTGTAAGAGAATTTTCGGAAGTAATTCAAAATGGTCTTACATTAGAATTAGAGAATAACGCTAAAGGATACCTTACAGGTGATCTTTTATATGTATTTTTGAGGATATTAGCAAAAATATTCCTGTTCCTGTAATTTTTATGGCGATTACAATTCTGAAATTGCAATATAACCAGTTTATAGCCCGTATGGAGGTAATATGCAAGGTCATTCGTTGTTGGGAATGTTGGAACGTGATTGTAAAATTATTAGCAAATATTAAGTACATACAGCTACTAGTCCAGTGACGGATACTCTTAGAAATAATTTGAATGCTGCAATGCAAGGCATGTGTAGAAAGTTTCAGCGCATTAAACTACTTTTAAAACAGTTTACAGCGTCGGCGACAACACGTGAAGCTAATACACGTCGAACCATGCTTCAAAGCTCATACTTTAGCTAGTCCCCTCTCATTAGGAAGTATGCAATTATTATCCCTCCTCCAAATCAAACAAAAACGCTGCCACCGAGAGTTACTAACCCTTTGTACATTTTCGAAAACAATATCGTATAAAGACTGAACAAAAAATTCTGTTAACAGAATCTATACCGATGGAACAATGTGAATTCACAGAAAAAATATCCGGAATACATCAATTACTCCACATCGCAGAATATCCATACACAGTCTTAATAAAACTCCAAACAACAGCAATTTTCATAGTCATTATGAAGCACTTGATCAAACATGTAATTTAGCTCTGAGGTACAAACTACTCAAAATTTATTCTCCACACCACATTATTTCGGTAATAAATGATTTTCTCGACCAACAAACATGATCGGTAAATGTTTACAACCACCTATAACAATAAATTCAGAACTCCCTCAATGTTCTCTTCCTCAAACCTCAATCAATTTATAAGTCTCTTACCTTCCTAAATTAATATTCAAACTTCTCAATGTGCAGATGACACTGTCATTTTCTTCAGACGCCTTCATTAATGTAATTATAAATAGAATTCAATTATACCGTAATATGTAGATATCTGGGTTTCTGAACTCGAGATTCAATTAATTTCAAGTAAAACTTCCTCTAAAACATTTACATTACTTACAGGCCTTACCTATGATACTCAACAACCATTTTACAGATTGGCTATATCCTACATACCGGTCAAATATTCCGGACTTCAAAAAGTCATTCAACTGAAAGAACCACATAAGATATCAAACTAACTCGAGCCAAAATAAAATTACTGCAGCTAAAACCACTCATTTATAGCAATAGCATCATGCCATTTTAAAACACAAAATTGTATAAGCGTTCTCCTCTACGTCTCTTAAATTTGGTTTAACGCGTACAAAATCAATATAAATAAAATTTTAAAAATACAAAATATGCTCCCTAGAACCTACTTTAACTTACTTTGGCCTACTTCGACATATACTTGTTAAATATCAGCAATATGTCAATCGCAGCGTAATCAAATATACAGAAACTTGAAATTATACAAAATAAATTTTTTAGAAAAATTATACATACACTTTGGTTTATTCTCAATACACAGATTCATAATGAACTAAATATCCCTAAAATCTATGATTTGATTAAAAATTATAGTCTCAATTTTTTTAACACGATTCCTGTATTACATCATGCACAATTTTTAATCTTGATAAAAGTTATATCTTTCTTCGTAGACTTAACTATGAATTTCGTCATCCGTTGTCTTATTTTCTCTTACTTCTTTTCAAATATTAGTTTCTTTACAACATTTTTATAATCCTTAAATTTTGCTTTAATAAATCCTCTTAACGAGGTTACTGTTAGTGTCCATATAGTTTTTATTTTGTAAATGTCAATGCTCTGACAGACATATTGTCGAACAGAAAGAAAGAAAGAAAAACAAGTTTCTTAGAACAATTGCCAAGGCCCCATGGTTACTTTTGAACCACCAACTCCATGAGGAATTTTACCTCGACCCGGTAGCAAGGTACGTTACTTGTCCATCCATTAGCTTATCCCAGCGTATATACAAATCCTCTTCCTGGTGACATTGAGAATTCATAAACGTGCTAACTATCAGACCCGAATTAAAAACAATTACCACTGTATTTCTTTCCTAATAAAGTTGGCTGAATTAGAACTACCACATATTTTGTTTGATTCGATGTCTAAAAACATCGTTATATTTGCATTATGAAAGCCTTTTTACTATGTCAAATTAAACTCCTAATGCTATAAATACGGGTGTGTATAATTTATTATGACAACCCAAAATTAAATCAAAATGACTTATTTCCTGTGAATGCTGATTACAACTGCGCGACATCGATTAACTTCGAAGTTACATCCATCAATTCTTCAATGCATTTCATCGATCATTGCATCGGGACTAATAATCATAGAAATTTGATGGAATAAAATTAACAATTAACACTTTTTATGAGGCTTCTTACTACCGAACCCTCTTCGTTAACTAGTGGTGCTAAAACAGCTCGTAGTTTCTTGCCTGCACTTTCACGCAAAATTGCGCGAAAAGTACTCAAATGTTCGAAAACTAATATCTGAATTTATTTCAAAATCTATCTTTAAGGAACAAATTTCACTTAGAAAGAAATCTTCGTCTTCATAATTGTAGTTGTAGGAAGACACTGAAAACTTGTTGGATTTGCAATTTCGAAAAATCAGAATTTTTAATGAATGTGACCCTGGCACCATTTTCGTAAACGTTCTTTACCCTATCCAACAACGAAATTTAATAAAAAACCATGGAGCCATTTTATTTTTGAAAATATGGAACATTTCCCAGGGGCTTCATATAAAGTACTCCCCATACATTAAAATATCGGTTTCAGTGTCAAGGGCCGTGACATCAGTCAGGTCGATCGGTGTATTTTAATTTTGGAGAAAATCAGCTGAACTGTTTAGCCGATAGCTAGCGTTGTTCATGGACGGACGGACGGACGGACGGACGGACGGACGGACGGACGGACGGACGGACGGACGGACGGACTAACGCTTTTTCCGTCATTCGATTTTTCGGTATCAAGGTATCACAAACATGGATTTTGGCGGCACCACATGTTAGAGGATTCTCTCCCTCCCTTAAGTTTGGCAATTGTATTTATCCACTTTTTCGTGGCCAGGGCTCTGAAAGAAGAGTTTTTCTGCCGAAAACTCATTTTTTCGCACAGCATTACATAATTTCCTCTCTACTCCGTAGCGAGAAAGTAAAAAAACGTGAATAAATGGTTTGGGTCCTCGGTAGTTTTGTATTGAGAACGAGTAGTCTTCACATTTCATTCGTCTCACTAAAACTGTTCGTTTTGCTTTAGAATGTTCTAAAAAGCGTGCTCTCAAATTCTGATCTTGAGTGGTTAGCACAATTTGGTTTAACGTAGACAACACGGTTCGGTAATGTAGATCCTCATGATGGGGATTCCGCTTATGAATACAATTGTCTTTGGAGGTGTTGGTGTCTATTTGAAAAGACGCATTGATACAAGTGAAAAGGAGGGTTGTAACCTTTGTAGATGCAAAGGAAAATTAGTTTTAATAAAGAAAAAAATCTATTACTTCTACTTTACTTAAACTAATCAAACCCTACCATTTTTTTGTCTCACCACTCACAGACATTTCCATATATTGCTCTAAGATGGTGTAGATCTTACGACCGTAGATGGTGTTTTCAAATAAATATTTTTGTTTATTTTAAAATCTTATATAATCAACAACTGAACAACATGTTTAGTAGAGTGAAGTAAACCTACTTTCTTTCTGAATAAACTCAATAATTATTTTTCTCATTTATGAATGGTTTTACTCAATAGTATGATGTGTTTGTTTTCATTTTAAATCATCATTTTTGCGATGTCAGTTGCGAACATGATATATTAAATGCTTAAAGATTGAATGAAAGAAAATAAAAGAACAGAAAATACTTACACTGCTCCAAAGGAAGGAAATCGCATAATCAGTGTTTATTGCCTCAATTGACACAAATGAATATTTCGTTTGAGGTAATAATGAAATAACTTTTTAGAAAGGAAGGAATGAAATGAAGATACTCGTACGAATAAGACGTTTTAGCTCTAAGTTCCGGACTCGTCATCCTGCATGTGTGGAAGAATAAAAAAAGAGTGCGAAAGTAATGGGTGAGGATAGGACTAGGAAGGAAAGATCGAGTGCGATTCGTGGCCCGTTTGTTGGGGTACTGCTCCGGCATTCGCCTGTAATTGATCGAAGAAACTACGGAAAAGTACTAATTCTCCTCCAGACAGTGGTTGGTTCTGTCGAGAGACAATTCTGATTCTCACGGTGTTATTATTATCAAACGCTTTTACATAATATATGTTAAATAAGTGGAAAAAACAATAATTTCCTTTCTTTATACAAATATAAAAACAGTATAAAATTTAATAACGATTTACATCACATACATATAATTATGCAGCAAATCAATGAAAATATAAAGTTCTACTTTTGTACAGGTTTTTAAAAAACAAGAAGGAAGGTCAATCAAAGGTGCAATTGTTTATTACGGTAGTTGATTCCATAGCAATTCACTTCCTCTTCATTTCATGAAACTTTCCATTCTCATTTTCAAAACATTTTCTTTCACTATTCACTGAAGTCTCTTTCAAGTATTCGCTGAATATCCAAGAGCTGACACATGTAAGAAAGAGTACATATGTGTCACCATTTATCGAGCAAGCGAATCAGATCGTCGTATAAGAACGTCTTCGCGTCATTCGCCCAGAGGAAGTCCAGGTGATTAAATTTGGAGTAGGGTACTCGATAGTGGCCAATCACGTTATTCAGTCCCAGGTGCAGTTTGGCGACGTCCTGCAAAGGATAAAACCACTTTTAAAATTACGCATTGTGCTAATTGAACATTGTAATGAATCAGATTTATGATAAACAAAGATATGATTGTTTTTATAACGCAATTTTTGTACAATATTTTAGATCCAACTCGCACTTTGTCAAGTGAATCAGGAAACAAGATTACTAATAGTATGAGAATTTGATACAAAACACGATAGTATCAACTGAAAAAAATTCAAACATTTGATTCTATCACAAGTTTAGTTTTGAAAAAAACAATTCAAATGTCAAAAAATGATAGTTGCCTGCAATGAAAAGCAATGAATCCGAAATATTTCATGATTTAAGTGTTGTGCGTAATCAGTAATGAAAATACTTTACTGGTGTATCTCATGAGAACTACAGTTTAATGAAGTGTAATCAACTATTGAGCAATTGTCCTTAATTATTAGAAATATAAGCTAGTCATTGATGACTAGTCTTTAGATAAACAATTACTTACATATAATGTTATGTTTAATCATAAACCGTTCCATTTTTAATATAATTTTGAAATTTTAACTTCTTTTTGTCTTAAAACGTTGGCGTTTTCGCAAATATTTTCTTCCGAATATAAAAGAAACTTCTCATTGAAAAAATTGTTCATTTAAAATGTTTAATTTTTTATTCGACCCAAGACAATATGAATTTTATGTTGATTCAGTTACCATTCGGTTGATTTAATGGTTGAAAAAAAAGTTTTATTCCTTTCTAATTATCTCTTCTCATTATCTTCCACCATTTTCAACGGACATAGAGATTGAGTCATTTCATTAAAACGTACTACCTTCCTGTCCTCAATTGGATGAACAAGCGTTTGTGAATTTTGGTAAGAAACATCGTTTTACATTAAAGATTCTTAGAGATTGCATTCTTGTATATAGTCCATAGGATGGGGCTCAACATTTCTCGAAGTGCTCAACAGTTTGGGTGCTAGTATTAATCACAACCGGCAGCCAGTCGGACACATAAATTCATTTTGCCGTCAATTAATTTTTCTGAATCAAGGACTCACAAGACATGTATTCTGGCTACGCCACGCGTTAGAGGAAGTAATCTACGATATTTGGAACACGATTTATCCACTTTTCGGTTACCAGGGCAAGACCAGGGCTCAAGAGTTTTTCTGTTGAAAATTCACCGTTTTCTGGCGCACGTACACACTACGCAAATAACCTAGCAATTTTGAAACAACGCTTCCAGACATGGAAATAATGCGCAGAGAGGTTCAATGACTTGTAGTCTGCGACGAAATTCGAAAATGAAAAGAATGTTCTACCTCTCTGTGTGCAGCTGAGGCGAAAAATGTAAAGGAATTATTTATTTCGAATATTATGAGGATCAGGCTTGTGTGTTTTTTGACTTGAAACGACACTTGTAAGTCCACAACGACGTAAACAGAACACTAGAACTCTAACACAACACTAGACTTGAAATATTTCGCACATTTTTTTAATGAAAGTTTTTAAGCGGAGTGATACTTTGGCGGTTTTCCATGATTTTGTCGTATAGACGATCCAACTCAATTTTCTTAATATAGACCATACGGTATTTTGCCTAAATCTGAAATGATCTACATTGCGCTATTTTTCTCACGTCGTCATTTTATGTTTATAAAAATGAGTAGTTTGTAATTGGATGGTCATACAAAAGCATATTGTGAGGAAATCAAAGAAAATCCAATGTGGAATCCGATTTAATTTAAATAGAGATGGGAATCGGCCCGTGTGCTCACCTCCGGGCCGCAGAGGTTGTCGTTGTCGCCGGTGTAGAGCGCCACCGGCGCGGTGACGCGGCCGAGGCTGTACTGCGGCGGCAGAGCGCGCCCGTAGCGCGCGGAGTTCTCCTTCGCACCCAGGTCCATCTGCTGGAACCTCCCTGCGCACAACACGCTCCGCTAGCGCCGCTTCCCTTACGCACGCCTCACACAACTCGCACTTCTTATGCAATCCTTTCACGCATTTCATAGCACTTTCTAAGCAACCCTAACATACCGCCCACATTAGTTCCTTTGCAACACTTACGTACCTATCTCGCTACTCCCTATGCAACCCTTACATTCCTCTCACACCACTTCGTATGCAATCCTTACACCTCGTTCTTAGCTCTGTGCAACCTTTACACGCCACTCCCACTTCTTCCTATGCAACCCCTACACGCCTATAACACCACTTCCTCTACATCCCTCTCACACCACTTCCTATGCAACACTTCCCACAGTTCTCACAACACTTACTATGCAACTATTACATACCTTCCACACCACAACCTAAGCAATACTTACACCACATTCACACCACTTCCTACGAAACACACATCTCTTACACCACTTCCTCTACAATTCTAACATACCTCGCACACCAATTCCTGCGCAACGTTTACACACCTCCCACAACACTGCTCTACAACTCTTACCCACCCGTCACACCACTGCTCTACAACCATTACACACCCCTCACACCACATTCTCCACAACCCTTACACATCTTACACCACTTCTTCTACAACCCTTACACATCTTCCAAACCACTTCTACAACTTGAACATACTTCTCACACAACTTTCTACAAACTTTACACAACACTTATTCTTCCCCCATAACACACTACTTAAAATATTTGGTTAGGTATCCAATCTCTGTGAAAATGCGTTCCTGCACCATGACGCAGTATATGATTTTAGCTTTGCAAAATGTGTAATCGCCTCGTTTGTTGATGGATTAGAAGCGGCCGAGGCTCTCTGTTTACTTCGAAAATGTAAGCATGCAGAACAGATGACGGAGATGGTGGCGTTTCCGAAAAAAGAAAGATTCATCTAAAGAAGTCTTTTCAGAGAAGCACTTTATTAAAAATAATATATTTCAATTGAAAATTTCCTCGTACCCCCACATTATCTTGCACATTGCTTGAATGATTTGTTAATTCAGAATTCTGCAAAGGGTTACCCAAATGGAAACGGCAATATTTTGAGTAACAATAACGGTAATTCTAAGAAAAAGGATTATATTATCACGTATCGTTTTCCGTGGATTTCCGTAATAGTTACATCAACACCTGTTACGCTATCGATTTGTTTGCCCATTATTTTGTGATAGTCAGTTTGAAATCTGTTTTCGATTATATATACAATTGGTTTTTACTGATTTGCAACTATCTAAACTATTCGTCATTCCTTTTCCTTGTATACCTAATTTAATTTAATTTAAATCTGCGCGCTTTGTATTTCTTGTTTTTTTATTAAATTTGATTTGAACATTCAATGTAATGTTTGTTGGGTACAGTAGAACTAATATTAAACGTAGTGTATCTCATATTGCCTTGTTTGCTGGTGGTTATAGTTCGGTCAATGTACCTATCAGTGCATTCAAAGTAGGGCATAGCAGAATTACAAATGAACGTTAAACGAATGGACATATCCCGATGGAATTCGACCAATTGGGTCCCTCGGACTGGCTTCCCTCACACCCTCTTCCCAGGCAATTCTCTTTCACTTTTGGCCACCTGAGAAGTCAAAGCGCGATTGCATCCCGATCGGGGTTTTGGAACGGGGAGGAGGAAACAATTTAGCTAAGTGTCCATTCATGAGTAATGCAAATACTTGTTCTCGCCCCAGGCGAGAGAAAAAGTCGAACACATGCGAACGTGGCAGAATATGTAATCTAACTGAAATATAAATATTTTAATTCTGCATATTTTAAGGGAAGGCTATGACCCCCTTTTCCCTTCTCCTTAGATTAGCCGACGGTGTACGAAGAAATCACTTCCAGAAAATTAAGAACATTCAATCAGTTAAATTGCAAAATAACCAGCTCTCCGTCCAATACTATATTTACAAAATTGACAACGTACGAAGGAGAATTTGTTCTTTTCTTCTTTCACGTACTTTAAATATGAAAGATAAAGAGCTATTTTTTATGCAGTGATATTTGGACGATTTCTTCCTTGTACTCATAAGGACTTTCGTGTTTGCGGACTTGTACTCATTTCGTTCTGCATTTTCAATTTTAAATGAGCCACAATGCATTTACACACTTTGTAGTAAAGTGAGTTGTCGGTTTATGAAAATATTCCCCGACGTGTAACAAATGTAAGGGCGTCAAATAATGTGTATTACCTGATTTGGCTACTTGCGCGTAGTGATGCAAGACCTTTGTGGAGGTTCCGGCCGGTGTATGCGCTGCTATTACAGGTAGCATTGTCTGTACAGAGAAATACACACAAGAGTTATTTTATTACTTTACACTTGCGATTAGTATTTAACTAATTAACGTCTCTGTTTGCAAATATTTTTAAACGAATTATTGTTTCAAAATAAAAACCGAATTATCTTTAGCAATACCCAGACGTCCACATAAGATTTACTTCAAACGCAGCTCTAAATAAATCCTACTATAATTTACAGTTTTTACAAGCTGCTCCCAAACTGTGTGGCGTAGGCAGTTTGTTTGCATGTCGATGATGGTGCCACCTACTCATTCGACACCGTTAAAAAAATCCATGTTACTGAGCATCTATATACAAGATAAAAACATTGATGTTAATAATACGTCTACGAAAATCTATGTTGTTGAATATCGATTTTTTATAGGTTATTTAGAAATCTCTAACATTAATTTTATGCGCAACAAAATTGAATTTGACAGTAGATGTACATATTAATTTATAATTAAAAAGTTGTAAATAAATGTCTCTCCACCAGTGGAACACGAGGAAAGACAAAGGAAAGTACAAGAGTATCAGCTAGGTCTCGGGCGAGAGATTGCTCGATAAAGCTAGTACAAACCACGTTCGTTTGGGTCGAACACATAAACTCCCAGCAGACATTTGTTATTCTCTATTTTAACGTTTACAAAATTGTGATTATGGGAATTTTAATTATACAACCTAAACGAAAACGTAAAACCATCGAGCCCAAAAGAGCGATGATAAACTCGTCGGCAATAATGATATAATATTGCACTTGAAATTTAATAAAAATTCATTTTGATAATGAGGCGATAGCATTTTATGGTATTACAAAATTAAGATTTAGCATTTTGTTGCATTTGTTGAGAAAATGATTAGTAAGGGAGGGTTCTTTGAAATGAAATTATTTTGATGCTTTTCAGATTTTCTCATTGAAATCAGGAAGTAAGGGAAAATTATTTAATATTTCTCCTCTCGTGAACTTCAAAAGAATGTAAAAGCGTAAGAAGTAACGCGCGCGCTATAGGCGTAGGGTCTTCCTCTTCTTCCCGTGACCTACTCCATTCAGCGAACAGAGGATGCTGAGAGTCATTGAAATGATCCTGAGCGCTCAAGCTTTCAGAATAAGTTTTTTTAATGTTATTATTTTTTTTTGATTTGTTTTTTAGTTAAATCTTAGTTACAAGTTAATTATCATGACTTCTCTCAAATTATTTGTTTTCAAACATCGATGCTGTGTTTTTGTTGACTTAGTGTTGCTGCATCTTTAGTTAGAGAGCGAACACGAAGGAAATCATAAAATGCAATTTAGCAAACGCATATTCACGACCATTTCTCACTCGGTATGTGATTTTGCATTTTGCGATGGATTTCGCATTTTATCGCAAATGGAAAACCTTCTGCTTCGACTGTCAAACATTTAATTACTAATATTTTCGGCGTTTGATAACATTTCGCATTTTTAGTACTTGCTAATCGTCTTGATACATCGATGTATAACGCACGGAAGTGTCTGTGAATACACGGATGTTGAGGAAACCTGGCGGCGGGGGCGGCGCTCTCACCCTGTTGAGCTGCGTGGAGTCGAAGCCGCCGAGGACGAAGAGCAGCACGCACAGCTCCGAGGACAGGGCGTTCTCGGTGCACAGCGCGGAGCGCGCCAGCTCGCGCATCTGGTCGCTCGGCTGGAACTCGTCGAAGCCCGCGCGCATCAGGAACCACTGGTCACAAAATGGCGGACACAAAATACAATATAATATCATGTGAAATAAATGAAAATAAAATGAATAAAACAAAAGATTAAACTAGGTTATTCGCAAGCGCTCACCCCCAGCTGGTCCCCGATGGAGGCGAGGAAGCGCAGGAAGCCGGTCTTCATGTGCGACAAGAAGGCGATGGGCGCCAGGCCCACCATGAGGCGCACCTTGGCGTTGTACTCGGGCCGCTCCGACGCCATCACGTAGAACATGGTGGTGCCCATGGAGTGGCCCACGTAGTGCAGCTGCCGGTGGCCCGTCTTCTGCAGGATGAAGTCGATCACCGCCGGCAGGTCGTACACGCCCATCTCGTGGAAACTGCGAAGGATAATCGTAGATGAGCGACGGTTTGATTGCTTACTTCGTATTTCCGGGCGCGTCAACTGTTATGGTCATTAGCTCCGCAAGTGTGGTGGATATTGTATCAGGAGAAATGGTGATGATCTTCCCCTACTGTATGGCGGGATCCAGTGATGACCTACTTTTCGGCTTGCGAGGTTTTCTCCAGCCAGGTATCTCCCACCAGTGGGGCCCCGCCCCAGCAGGGACGAGCTCTAAGATTCCGACTAGTCTGTCGTCAAGTGTGGAGCATGTATGTAGTCTGTCGTCAAGTGCATGTGAGTGTAAGCGTGTGAGGCTAAGGATAAAAATAGGACCAGGAAGAGGAAGAAAAGATAGCCCTCATAGGAGGTGGGCCTGTTCCGGGGTGGCCTGTGTCTGCAAAAGCAACGTCTGCTAGCAACATTACGCGGGAAGCAGAATATTGTCCCGCGGTTTCACCTATCGATGACATTTGTTGCATTAGACGTCTAGGAAAAGAACCTAAACATTTTGAAGACTGGTGATACGACAATACTTTGCATTGATAATCAAATAACAAACCATGCACTAAAAGAACTTCCGGGAAGAAAATACACTTTCAGACACAAAGTAAATTTCTTCCACATATTGACAAAACTGTAAAATTGAGACGTGACAAAAATTGAAGTACGGTTGACCATGTCTTTAAACAATGAAATATTTATTAAACTGCAAAGTATACTAATTAATGAGAAATGTTGAAGATTTTTTATTTTAATATTGCTTTAATGTGAAACTATGGGTGTTTTCCATGTTTGTTCTTGATCCTTGATGATTTTTACGATCGGAAAAAATTAGTAAAAATGTCAGTTATCTTGTTAACGAATAAATGATCAACAGTTTGACGCACTCATTGTCAGAAAATTGCCATAACTTTAATCCTTTTTAACAGTACTTTTCTTTTCTACTCCTGGGCAATTTTGTGATCGGCAAATGTGATGCGCCAAAAGTAGAATGTTTAATTTTGAAATCGTAAGCACTGTTACACTTCATTGTATTCGATAGAATACAAAACTTACTTATGTGTTAAGAAATATCCTAAAGTTTCATTCTGAAAAGGCTAATGGTCCATTTTACTTACATCCCATTATAATGTAGATATTTAGTGTGATAAATGAAAGAGAGATTCCTTAGGCACCAATCGTATCTCGAGCAATCAAATGTATAAATTACATCACTATAATAGATGATACAGCGTTGATGCTTACTCTGGCATAATCGGTGTTTCAAACTGCCAAAATAGTGAGTGTTTTGACGTGTTTTACATATTTTGAGAACACAAAATAAAGGATTGAGATAAGTGATAGTAAACTAACTTGTCTGCGTGACAAATCAAGATTATAACGATAAACCAAGTCAATTACGTGTGTGCTTGACGTGTGTACGTGTGTGCGTGCTACTCGAGTAGTTACTTTGTAAAGTTTCTCGAGGAGAGGCCTCACCTGAAGGACCAGTAGCGCTGCTTGGGAAGAGCCTTCTCATGGCCCTTCGAGTAGCGGTTGCCCCTGGCGTTCCCCAACCACACGTCGTAGCCGGCGTCCGATAAGAGATACGCTGGAACATTAAATCAGGTTGTAAGTGGTTCGTGGAAATAAACAAACTCCTAAAATTCCTTTGAATATAATAGCTTTTAGGCGTCATTCAAAAGCTAGTAATTAAAGGGAAGGTAATCAGTACAAATTTCTAGGTTCACGCGAAAGAAGGTACATAGAATAAACTGTGTAATATAAAATTGGAAATTTTTGCAAATGGCTGAAATTATATTAAAATGAAAAAAAATGTCATTTTATTTTGTGAATAAATTGTGTTTCAAACGTTTTGAATATAAAACATTCCGAAAGACTTCGAAATGGCAAACTCTCTCCACACATTAATTCGCACACATATTCGCTTTCGCACTCAAATTATCACACAATTACACACAAACAGGAACACTGCTGATGAGGTAATCCCTATTGTGTGACATTAGATAAAACCTAGTTAATAAATATGGACGGTTGAATAATTAAATTTTGTTGGTTAAGTCATTGTAGTTTAAAATAACGTAAAGCAAATACATTTTTGTATTATACATTAAAAACGGCTAATTAAAAAATTAAATTTGCTTCATGTATAACTACTAAAATGTGTTTTTCAACAATTTTTGTATTATGAAGAGTGAATGTATGTTAAATCGATTTTTATTGTCATGATTGTATGATATTGTGTAAACAAGTTGCACGTTATACAAAGATTTTAAAGTAAATTAAATGTTTCTTATCAAATGTAAGCTTTGTGACTAAAATGAAATTGCTGTTATTGTTATTTCAAATATTTGCCGGCATACATGTTTTTATTTTTTTAAATACTTAATATTCTGTACTACACAAGGTCGTCGACCCACACATTATATATTTCCATGATCTACAATTAGAGGAAATTGGCAGACGAGCAAAATACTAAAAATAAATTAAATAAAATCTAAAATATATTTTAGGCCAATGTCAACACACAATCTTGCACCCATTCACACACACGCTCATACACACACACACACACACACACACACGCTCACACCCACACACGCGCTCACACCCACACACGCGCTCACACCCACACGCGCGCTCACACTCACACACGCGGTCACACCCACACACGCGCTCACACCCACACTCGCGGTCACACCCACACTCGCGGTCACACCCACACTCGCGCTCACACCACCACCACGTGCGCTTACACGCACGCGCGCTCACACACACATGCTCACACACAGTCGCCGGGTCACACACTCACACACACGCGCGCTCACACACACACGCGCGCTTACACACACGCGCGCTTACACACACGCGCGCTTACAACACGCGCGCTTACACACACGCGCGCTTACACACACGCGCGCTTACACACACGCGCGCTTACACACACGCGAACACACGCGTTTAACACACACGCGTTACACACACACACGCGGTTACACACACACACGCGGTTACAACAACACACGCGGTTCACACACACACGCGGTTACACACACACACGCGGTTACACAAACATGCGCGGTTACACACACACACACACACACGCCGGTTACACCACACACGCGGTTACACACACACACGCGGTTACACACGCACCACGCGTTACACACGCACACGAGGTTACACACACACACACACGCGGTTACACACACCAACACACACACACACACACACACACACGCTCACAATTACGGGCTACCTTACAAAATAAGATATATGCACGATTATCTACACATTTGGACTCGCACAGCCGATGACCTGTTATATTACACACACCTACGCGCCGAAAAGAAAAAGAAAAGTGTTAAGAAAGTGCGAGAGTGCTCACCCAGGGCCTTCCCGGCCCATGACGACCCAGTCGGCGGAGGAGCAGAGCACGCCGTGCTGCAGCAGCACCGCCCGGCCCTGCCCCGGCGCCCGCTGCGCCCGGCGCCCCGGCGACCGCGCGCGCGCACTCGCACTCGCGCTCGCGCGGCGGGATGCGGTGCAGCGTAGCAGGTAACCGTCCTGCGGTGCGCACGCGGTGCGTCTCCGGCGTACCGTACGCGCGATCAGCTGCCGCGCCGCGAGAGGGGTGGAGATTACTTGCGGGCCCGGTAGCGCTCGCTGATGCAGTGCGCATAATACGAGCGAATTCAAGTTCAAACCAATTTATTCAAACATATTATTTTCGTTTAACATTACGGTGTTCATTAGATTAACTACATTTGAGCTGAATATTAACTACACTTAACTGCGTATGGCTATACTTAACTGCGTATTGGCTGTACTTAACTGCGTATTGGCTGTACTTAACTGCATATTGGCTGTACTTAACTGCGTATTGGCTATACGTAACTGCGTATTGACTATATCATTGTATTCAAAATGAAATCTTTGACTAATACTGTGCACCGCGAACATTTTGTTCAGCTTCCTGCTTTCTAGATTGGAACTTCGTTTTTTTGATATTATGATTGGAAGCGAATGTGTAGTTCAAAAAGATATCCTTACAGTGCACTTCAACCAAGGTCATCTGGGAACAGCTTGGCACACCATCACGTCGATGAACTTGCAACAACAACGCCCCCAGATATCCTATTAAGATTGCGAAGAGCGCGTGTCTAAATACTCCCGTTACTAATAAGAACCGAAAAAATCAGCAAAATCGGTCAAGTAGTTTTTGCATCTGTATGAGTCAGACTTACACACGTATTATCTATAGATTCCGCTTCGAGAATTCACTTCGCTTGTTCAAAGAGAGCGATCACTGTAAAATCGAATTCATTGAAATCCGTGCCCTTTCGAAAACTGCTGATCTTCGAAAATTTCAAATCCCCCTACTTTTGCAGAAAAGTGTGTTTGACGAGATGGCCAAAGAATTAGTAGAATACTGGGAACATCATAACACAACATATCAGTTACAAATAAAACGAGATGGTATGTACTAATGTAGCACCACTACTTTGATTTCTTTTGGCAGTTTTTCAAATTATAAATATCGTTAAATCGTTGATACCTTTAGTACAAGGGTTTCTTCTATAGATTTTATCAGAGCGATTTTGAAATACATTGTTGATTATCTTGTGTATATTTTATTTGGTGCTCTTCTTCCTCCATTCTCCTACACATCTATTGTGCTTTTATGCTTGAGGAGATTGCCCCTGAAAGTTTCCATGCCCGGTTAGGTATTTTGTACAGGCGTAACCACTTCATTTGATTTGTAAATGTGCGAATGGATTTGTACGTCACTTTCCCCTGTTTTCTTTTTGGCCGACTTAATTGTCATTCGAGCAGGAAGACACGCGTCATTTGACCTTGAAATCTTATTGTGTCTGTCTCAAGGGTGGGGAGTCCCCGAGTAATGTGAAACGAATTTAGGATTCCAATCTTTTCTTTCCTTTGGTGCTCAAGTTTAAATTGAGTTTCGGGTTGACATCCGCGCATTAGCAGCACTTCCGAAATTTTTAAATTTATATTCATACCTAGTTAATTATTTATTGTATGACGTGAGTTAAATGGCTTAATGAACGGCACAATAGGCATAGTTTCGAAGCCTGATATCTCAGCCAGGTCTCTTGCTAAGGTGTTTGTGTGGAGGTATAATTGTGATGATGACGGTGATAAGGCTAGTAATGATCATGAGAATGGGAGAATGAAAACTATAGGGAAACCAGGCGCGAATCCATTTTGTCCTCTGGAGTCTGTCGGGGACCGAAGCCCGGCCCCAGTAGTGCAACCTCGGCGCTATACGAGGTGATTTTTTTATAAATAAATGAAACACATGTATAAATAGAACACGTATTTACTTGAGTAGAAATAC